TCCCTATTTTTTTCTTCTAATCATTATATTTTTTAAGTCAACAGAAACCTTTACCGTGCTATCACGACTGGTTTTTATTCCATGTTATTGTCTAAATACATTTTACAGTTATAATCACAGTACTCAATATTTTGTTAACTATCTTTAAGTTAATATGTGCTTACCATTTCTATATTATTAAATGTTTAATATTGCTGTTCATGGCTGCCTAATATCTCCTAATTTCCTTAAACATAGCCTGAGTATTGAACATTTAGGGTATTTTTCATTTATTTCTGTTACTGAATACATTTTTGCACATGAATTTGTTAGGTCTTTTAAATGGTTTCCTTAGTATAGATTTCCAAGAGAGAAAATAAGAACCAAAGCCTATGAACCTTTTTATGGCTCTTTCTGAGCTTAGTTAATTATTTTACAAAAAGGATGGGTCAATTTACATTGCTCTAGGAGTCTTGATTGAATCATTTGACAAAGACTTCACCACAACTTACTTCTAGCTTTCATTTTTTTTCTTATAACAGATATCAATTAGTATCTCATGATTAATTATCAGTGGAGTTGAACATGATTCTATATGTTCATTCTTCAGGATTACATGAATTGTGTATTCACCCAATCACATTCTTATCCCAGTCTTCTATTTCCTTCTATTTTTTAAGAGGTCTTTTTTTTAATTGGCTGCTTGAGCCGTGAACATAAATCTCTCAACCTGACCTAAATGCAAAAGGCAAATAAAGCAACATCAGCACAAACTTGCCGTGTCACCTTAGAGAACGGGGCTGTCACCAGAAGCACATTAACAGAAGAATAATCCTTTCAAGGAAAATACCATCTCCTCAACCTAGTCAGTCCTTAGACTTCAAGGAGGAAAAAATATATTACTGTGGATTTGAGGGCCACGCTTCATTAGGAAGTTGTAAATTTTACTTTTAAATCTCCAAGCAACTTTTCAGCAAACACAGTGATAGGTCATTAATGATGAAACCGGTTAAATGTAATTAAGCATCCGACTGAGGAGAAGGAAACCCTATGCAGCTCATTAATCATGATCAACCAGATTTACACAGTGTTCATTGCTCATAGAAGATAAAGGGTCTGGTCATCTGTATGTTGCATTTTCCAAAGTACTGGGTGGGGGACAAGCCCCATATTACTTGACATCACAGAGGAGGGCGACCCCACGGAGCACCCAGTGTTCAGGAGTCTGGGCCGTCCTGAGGTCCACAGCAGCGATGTAATTCAAGTCCGTTCGGACTGGCTTCTTGTAGATGGGACAGGAGTAAAACCGAGGATCTCTTAGAGCTATAAAAAATTCATAAAGGAAAAAAAGTGGTGAGTTTCTAATTTAAGTAACCCAAACAGTGCAGAGCCAAATGGGGGCATAATGAAGGTGGTTCCAGAAGAGATGGGTTTGGTATAATGAGGGAAATTCTCCTTGGAGTCAGTCAATCCCTAGATGGGAAGAAGACGCAGCTGTAGGTGGCCAGTGGGTATGACAAGATGCCCAGGCATAAACAGGTTTTCCCCACTGGACTCTTGTCCCCTGTCGGTGACAGTAACTCCTGCCCATGTACCATGACCATAAGCCTCCCACTGCTTCCTCCCTCTCCTTTCTGTCAATTCCATTTAGGATTACATGAATTGTCCATTCATCCAATCACATTCTTATCCCAGTCTTCTGTTTCCTTCTATTTTGTAAAAGGTCTTTTTGTAATTGGCTGCTTGAGCCGTGAACACAATTCCATTGCCCTTCACCCTTTCTCCTTTACTTCCCTACCACATTTTGTGCTCTCACCACCCCCCCAACTTCCCCCGCGCACTGCCCCCAGTGTTTCCTCAGAGCTTGCGTTTGGCAAGAGGCACTTTTTAATCAGACAGCCAGAACCAATCCTCACTACCATTTCATTATTGTTATTGTTATTATTATTATTATTATTATTATTATTATTCCAAAATCCTGTCTTCAACCCTCTGTGCCACAGTCCAAACCACATTGGAAATCACAGGACAGAGGGTGCTTCCCACGCCTGCCAGGTGGTGTGAGTTCTCCATGTTTGTGGAGAAATAAAAGGGGCTGTGGAGCAGAGAGTCATGGCTGAGTCCAGCTTCCTGCGATTCAATCTACACTTTTGAAGTGGAGGAGAGAGTATCCAAAGCCACACATGCCATGAAAGACATGTGGCTGGCCACCCTTCACAGAACCTCTTTAATGCATTTATCCCTAACCAAAGGCTCACTTCCTCTCCACCCTTGGAAACCCCATAATCAGGGACAGATTCAGGTCTTGTGGGGCCATAAACATACAAATTAGGGGAAAGGGCTCTTTAAGAAAAAGAGTACAAATTTACAAGTGCATATCTAGACTTTGGAAGGAGACTCTTGCATTGAGTAGCCTTGGAATTTAAGCTTCATTAGCTGTTTGTTAAGTCCACTCTTCCCAGGATACTTTATCTGTACATCTTAGAACATCCATCTCAGGAAGCAGGGTATTATTTCCCCTTCTCTTCCAGATTATAAATTTCTTCAGGACAGAAGTTGTGTCTGCACCCATCCTTGTACTCCTCTGGAAGGCTAATATTATAAATGACCCTCATATAACTACTGAGATGAAAGCACATTTAACTAAGAGAATAACTTTGCTTTGGTGAATTAGTGTTACAAACATGAGTACTGATACATGAAGACAGTAACTTTTTAAATGCAATGTTAATATAACAAAGTGACTGAATTTATGTCGCCAAACTAACTTCCTCAATAATTTAGCTTTTCTTAACATGTTATAAAAACAAAGCACTATCAGAAATTATCTCATTTGTTGACCCAAGAAAACCTTCACCCTGTTGTGCCATGTGTTTTTATACCTCCACTTAATTAATGTTATTGGAAGAAGTTAAATAGTTGAATATGATAGCATTATAGATGTTTCAATACAAGATAAATATTCTAAAGTAATAATTCTTAACCAGGGGTAATTTTACTCCCAGGGGGGTGACTTGCCAATATCTGGACACATTTTCACTTATCCCAACTAGGGAGGTACTCAAGGCATCTAGTGGGTAAAGGTCAGGGATTCTGCTAAAATCCTATAATGCATAGGGCAGCCCCTCACAACAAAGAGTTATCTATACCAAAAATGTCAGTAATACCACAGTTGATAAACCCCGCTCTAAACAGATATTTTACAGTACTTTAAAACTATGTGTTTGTTTAATCACATGAAATTAATCATTAGAAACAATCTAAATTAATGTAACATCTAACATTTAAGTCTAGGCATTATTTTTTTAATTACCATGGGAATATCATTAGTAATAATAATTAAGCAAATATATTAATATATGTGTATGACAGTAAACTCATGAAGTGCAATCAATACTAATTCTACTAACTGATATATTTAAACCCTTTAATCCTAGGATCTGTAAACAGAACAAAAACATAACTGCTCATTCTTCTGGATGAAAATTTGACTAACAATCATTTTATAAATCTTGAAGTAAGCCACTGGAGTCTTAGATTTAAACCAAATGATCATTATAATAATTATACCTTGGCAAGAATTTGACTTCTTAGATTTTAATCCCCAG